TTTTTGAGTTGGAGTCTCACTCTGTCACCCAGGCTGGAGTGCAGTGGCACACTCACAACCACCCCAGCATTGACTTGCTGGGCTCTGGTGACCCTTCTGCCTCAGCATTCCAAATAGCTGGAACAACAAGCGAGCGCTACCACGCCCAGCTAATTTTTGATTTACTGTGGAGACGAGGTCTCGCCAAGTTGTCAGGGTGGTCTCGAGCCCATGGGCTCAGGCAATCCACTCACCTTAGCCTCCCAAAGTGCTGGGATTACAGGCAGAGCCACCGAGCCCTGCCAAGTCTTTAATATATCCTGAGTTAGCTTGGGGGACTTTTCATTTTTTTCTGCACATAGCATTCCAATTTTCCCAGCACCGTTTGTTGAATAGGGTGTTCTCTCCTAGTGTATATTTGCGTGTATATGTGTATGTATATTCATTGATTGCTCTATATATTGAGTTTGGATCCAGCAACCAGTGGTGTTCTAGAGTTGGCTTGTACCAGATAACAAGAACCTATTATTATTTATTTATTTATTTTAGTAGGAATGAGGCTTCACTATGTTGCCCAGGCTGGTCTTGAATTCCTGGGCTCAAGCAATCCTCTCACTTCAGCCTCCCAAACCACAGCTGGCTAAAATTAACCATTTTACAGTGAACAATTCATTGACATTTAGTACATTCACACTGCTGACCAACCACCACTTCTGTCCAGTTCAAAAACATTGAATCACTCACAAAGGAAACCTGTACCCATTTGCAATTGCTCCCATTCACATCTCGCCTCAACCCTGGCAACCAACAATCTGCCTTTTGTCTGTATAGATTTACCTATTCTGAATATTTGATATCTGGAATAATACAGTATGTGACCTTTTGTGCCTGGCTTCTTTCACTTAGCATAATGTTTTAGATGTTTATCTGCATTGTAGTATGTACTTCCAATTCCTTTTTATGGTTTAATAATATCCCATTGTATGTGTATACCACAATTTGTTTATCTATTTATCCAGAAAAGCAGGCAGCATTGCTGGGTAACTTGGCACTGGAAAACCAGTGCCCACATGCATGCAATTAGCTTGCTGTCCTCTGCTATAAAGGTATTGTATATTTGCTTTTAGGGGAAAAAAAAAGAATGGTCATGTGTCCCGTATCTTGCTGTGCTTCACAAATTTTAGCTGCTTTTGCCTTCTGAACTCTTTTCTCTTCAGGTCACCAAGACATTGGTCTGTTTAAATTCCCCCTTACTGCACTCATTCTTTCCATCTCAAGAACTGGGGCATTTGATAGGCTTACCTTGTTTGTTTTCTTCTTTTAGGGATTGCTATTCTGTATTGCTTATTATCTACTGTTTGAAAACTGGGTGTTTTCACATATTTTATTCAATTTTTGGTGGTTTAAGCTTGGAGGTTATATTCTATTCCTATTTTCTCATCAAAGCTGGAAATAGAAATTCCTTTCTTTTTTTGAGTTAGAGTCTCACTCTGTCGCCCAGACTGGAGTGCAGTGGCCGCTCCCGGCCACCACAGCCTCAACCTGCTGGGCTCCGGCGATCCTTCCGCCTCAGCCTTCCAAGTAGCCGGAACTACAGGCATGGGCTACCACGCCCGGCTGATTTTTTGATTTATTGCAGAGATGAGGTCTCACCGTCCAGGTGAGTCTCGAACTCGCGGGCTCAGGCAATCCACTCACCTCAGCCTCCCAAAGGCACAGGATTACAGGCTGAGCCACTGAGCCCAGGGAAATTCCTTTCTTCAGATTCGTCCTGCTGGTTCCTTGCTATCATGTCAGACAGTTGGTTCTTTTAGGGAATTAAAAAAAATTATTCAGCATGTTTAGTTTTTTTTAATGGAAAGTTTGATTCAAATAGCTTAGCCTACCATTATTAGAAATAGCAATGCTTATTGTCTTTTTATTAAAACAGTAGAAAAAGATTATATCTTCATAAAAGTGGAACAGTTGAGTGAGAGGAGAGGGATAATTTTGTAGTTCTTCTGAGCAGTCCAGAATAAAATAAGGAAGTAGAGCATGTTTGAGGTAGGCCTAGGTAGAATTCCCAGACTTGATGTGGTTTTGCTTGCTATGGATACTAGATAACATGTTATTAGTAGACCAGTAGGTAGGATTTGCATAATACAAAATAATGGAGTATGTTGAAGAAGCTTCATAGTGTCAGAATGGGACAGTTACAATGGGTTGTTTTGATTTTCATCTAGATATTCTACATTTCCTCATTTCTCTACACTGTTAATTACATCTGGTATCTGTGCACAGAGCTGAGGATGAAATACAACCAGAGTGGACAGAGCACACCTCCACTGGTAAGTTTTATCAGAGCTGATAGTTAAGAATAATTAGCCAGACATAGTGGTGCATGCCTGTGGTTCCAGCTACTTTGGAAGGCTGAGGTGGAAGGATTTCCTAAGCCCAGCAAGTTGAGGCTGCGGTGTCTGTGAGCGTGCCACTGCACTCCAGCTTGGGCAACAGAGTGAGACTTCAACTCAAAAAAAAAAAACAAAACCCAAAAAGCAAAGAATAGTATGCTAAAACAGACCTATATATCCCTGATAAACAGTGTAAGCACTCAGCACTAGCTAGGTGAATTTATGGAGGATAATCAAAGAAAAAATTTGTACCCACTGAGTTTCCATTCTGTTGACATCACTTCCTCCTCTCCTTTGTCACATACACACAAAGGAGTGATTATAGGAATATTATTTACAGTGCTGCCATTCCTGCCTGGTTTGATTCAGTAAGGGAAATTCTTAGCTCCATGTTGACCCATCATTGTTACTAGAGTAAAGAAAAAGATCTTGGAGAAATCATGGAAAGTGCTCTGTCTGCAACATGGGATTTGGGGCTACAGGCATTGGAGATGGGGAGTATTTGTTCTGCTCTGATGTATTTCTTTAGTATGTATAGGTGACAGGTATTGGTTTGCAGAAGAGTGGAGAAATTAATGTGTGGTAGTCAGAAATAAAGTAGATTTAGAGAGCAATTGTCTTCCCTTCTTTAGTTCACAAACAAAAACAGTTTGGGGCACTGTCCAGCATTTCAATTATTCAAGAATGAACACTAAGTCAGTACATCTGCATTCTTTTTTGTGTATACATATTTTACACATCACATAACTCAGCTATTTGAAGAGTAAAAGTAAATTTTTTTTAGTAAATTTACTGAGTTGCACAATTATCATCATAAATCAGTTTCATAATATTTTTTTTTACCCCAATAAAATCCTTCATGTCCTTTACTATTAATCTCCTTCTCATACCCTGCATCAGGCAACCACTAATTTACTTTATTTCTCTAAGGATTTACCTTTTCTGGACATTTCATATAAAAAGAATTGTACAATATGTAGTCTCTTGTATCTGGTTTATTTTACTTAGTGTAATGCTTTTGAAGTTCATCCTGTGTAGCACATATAAGTAATTCATTCCTTTTTTATTGTTGAGTAGTATTCTGTTGAATAGAACACTGAGTTTCTTATTTCTTTTAGCATATCACTGAAGTGATCTTGGCTGATGGCACTTTCATGATGTTATCAATTTCTTTTTCTTTTTTTTTTGAGTTGGAGTCTCACTCGGTCACCCAGACTAGAGTGCAGTGGCCGCTCCTGGCCACCACAGCCTCGCCCTGCTAGGCTCCAGCGATCCTTCCACCTCAGCCTTCCGAGTAGCTGGAATTACAGGCGTGCGCTACCACGCCCAGCTGATTTTTT